AGTCAACACCCAGGGACAAAGTATACCACAGCGTAAACTAACAACGACAAAATATACAACAACATCAGCAATGACAAAATATAATATAACGTTAATCCCCAGGGACAAAGTAAACCGCAACGTCAACAAACAATGACAAAATATACAACAACACCAGCAATGACAAAAAATACTTTAAAGTCAACACCCAGGGACAAAGTATACCACAGCGTATACTAACAACGACAAAATATACAACAACATCAGCAATGACAAAATATACTGTAACGTCAATACCCAAGGACAAAGTATACCGCAACGTCAACAAACAATGACAAAATATACAACAACATCAGCAATGACAAAATATACTGTAACGTCAATACCCAAGGACAAAGTATACCGCAGCGTCAACAAACAATGACAAAATATACTTCAACGTCAATACCCAGGAACAAAGTATACCACAGCGTCAACAAACAATGACAAATATACAAGAACATCAGTAATGACAACATATATACAACAACATCAGCAATGACCATGTAACGTCTGAATAGTAAAGATTACGTGGTCTGTATAGATTACCTTTTACATGTGTAGTATCATTTAAGTAAACTTGTACACGTATAACTTTGTCTTTAACAAACTGTGAATATATGGAAAAGGGAAGTGAAATGAGGTTGACAAGGCAGTATATGATGGACGGTAGGGAAAGCAAAGAGAAAGAAAAGGGGAGAGCGACCGGAACAATATTTGGTTGAATATAGTAGGGAAGATGGCAAACATGTGATGATCCACAAGTATCTGCAGATAGGTCCCGGTAGGGAAATGAACTTATAGGCGTGGATTGGCTGATTTCTTTCCATTAGGTGTTCATATAAATGAACGACCGAGTTCTATTTACAGGTCTGGTATATAAATACGTGTATCATAATAGTAAGATGGCATAGTGTAATAGCGGTAAATAAGCACATTCCCATATCCATTCTTATACCTTTACACGCACACACGAAGACACACACACACACACACTATCTGAGATTTGATCTCTGAATGTTGCTGTGAAACACTGGCGCGGGCCTCGAAACTCGATACACGCAAGAGCACACAAACACACTCACCATCACACATCCTTCCTTACACACAAAATCACACACATCTATATATATATTCTCACAAGTACATACTAATAAAGTTGAATATATACACGTAATACAGGGAAATAGTTTGTAATAAAATAAGAACAAAGTATAAGACTAGTAGAGCTATATAAACAACGTCTGTAACTCTGCCATTATTAGCTGAATCACGTTCACCTGTCGTCTCATTGGCATCACAGTGGTAAAAAACGTCTATATAACCATGTTGTGTTCAACATTCGAGTTCAACAAAAGGAAAAAGAAAGGCCAAATGACGCGTGAATAGATGTAATGCAAGTCAAACTAATAATACCCCTATGTTATGGCTGCGATAAGATGTCTTAAATATATCTGTGATGCGAGGGTTGGTAATGATAAAAAATATGCCACAGCATTTTCATACAATAACAAAAAATACCACAACATCAATAATGTCAAAATCTACAACCAAACAAACAATTAAAAATATACAACAGCATCAACGATGACAAAACATTTAACGACATTAACAATGACAAATATACCCCAATATTAACAATGAGAACAAATATCACAACACCAAAATACAACGACAAAATGTACCACAATTTCGAAAGTATATAGGTTTAAATGTCATATACGTATTGTAGTCATTTGCAGGGTTGAGTTTTTCTCAATTAACATCACATCACTTAAAAGTCAGTGTCATGTTTCTTTAAACAGTTTATTCAGTAAGCAATGGTTGATTTATACATTTGTCAAAACTAGTTTTAACTGCACATATATGTTAATTGCTAAGCATTACCAAGGTTAAGGGGCCCAGGGTTCAGTGAATGATAAACCTTCATACGTAAAAAGATACTAGAAATATAACAATGTTCTAGCCAAAATTGTTGTGCCGTATCTGAATCGCTGGCTATATTTTTCTTGTGTTAGTGATAAAGGGAAAATATATCACAACATTGACATCTAAGAACAAATTATAACACAGGGTTAACAAAAAATGACATAATAAACCACAAAAGAATAATGCATTAATTTTCCAGATAAATGATGGTATATTATTTGATTAACTGAATTATTATACTGTTGCTATCCCAATTCATATTATGTGAAATTTAACCATTTTAACCTAAGGTATTTCATACATCTGCTCAATACACTTTCCAAAATACCAAAAGCTTTCAACAAATGATATTAAAATACGATGTATTGTAGGGGTTAAGGTCACCAAGCATCCGATAAGACTTTTTTTTTGTTGGTCTTCAGGAAAAAGTAGCATGTTTAGTGTTATGTTAATTATAAAGTGTTCTTTAAATAATTTTAAAGAACAATTCATATTCCTTCAAATTAACATTTTCATTTGTTAGTAAGTTTTATTGAATTTTTTTTATCACATAGTTAAATGATTTAATAGTTGAACTGAACAGATTGAGGTCAATTGTCGACCCAATGTCCCGGAATGGCATTTGAAGTGGTTGATAGTGTATGACATACGAATCTCTTGATTGTTTATGTTTGGAAACTGAGACTCATACTGGTATTTAGAGTTATGTTCAGGATATAGGCTCGAGCTAACGGTACAGGGCCTAGCAACAGACGGCTTGATTTATAAATAAGAATTCTTCCTTGTCACACAAAAAAGCACTACTTGCCAAGTACTTTGATAAAATGCTAGCTTTATCCAATACCGATGAAAACATTTTTCTGATAGTGGTTTCACAACACTGTTTCATTGATGTCATGGCCTACCCCTAAATAGGTTGACAACATTAAAGTATGTTCTATCAATCAATAAGTTTAGCAACCATATTGATAAGTAAATGTCCAATTGTGTTTGTGTTATTAAGCTGAATAACAACACTGCTTTGTTGATGTTCTTTAACAGGGTAAAATCTGAATCTATTGGCGTCTTGATGTATTTCAGCTGGGTAACATCTGAATCTGTTGGCGTCTTGATGTTTTAACTTGATAAAGTCATTGATTTGTCGATGTTCTTAGCTAGGTCACCCCTGCATCTGTTGACGTACTGATGTCTTCATGTATTTAGCTGGATAACATAATTGATTTTTGACGTACTGATGTTTTTTTATGTATTTTAGCTGGATAACAACATTGATTTGTTGACGTCATCATGTAATCATGTCTTTCAGCTGGGTAACATCGTTGATTTATTGACGTACTGATGTGTTTATGCCTTTTGGTTGCATAACAACATTGCTTTGTTGATTCTCTGACGTATTTCTATGCTAAGGTTCGGAAATTAATATTAAAAAAATCAATCTGACGTTTTACATGTTTTGGTATATATATGATATAACTGCTGTTTTCATGGCCGAAATCTGTTAATAGATTATTGATTTTTTTATAGTCTGACTACAACCAAGCGTGGCACAACATAGGTTGACATTATTAATATGTCATTTCTGTATGTATTTGACCAACATGAATTTCAGTTAAAATATCAAAATTATTTAGATTTTGGTTATATCTCAATGATAAACATGGACATTCTTTCGAAATAACATTATTATTAGAATTAATGTTCAATTGGTGACGTTTGTCGTACAACCCTTTAAAAGACAAAAGTAAATCAAGGTGTATTAATACACCTCACATTTTGTTACAACGATGGATTACGTCAATTTGGATGTCTACCCTTTGGGTCCCTCGCATCACATATGAGGCCTGTAAGGACAAAACAGCAGTACGGTGCAGTGTTATTCAGTTTTGGCATACTGTTATATGTTATAGCTTTTTTAACGTTTTAGAGTTTTCGTGAAATTGTACAAACATGGACAGTAGCTTTATATTCATATTCTCAGCCACTCACCCCGAGCTTGTGTTTGATAAATCATGTTTAAGTTAATTCACCGTTTAAGGTATTACATTAGACTGAACACTCAATGACAACGATTAACAAGTTCATTTTAATTGATATATAACAATTCATATAACACACAATGAATGAATTGCTTATAAGAAACCAATACAAAAAAAACGTCTGAATGGTAAAAAAATGAACACCTATGAGAATAATACATATTTTACAAAATAAATAAGTTTGATGTATAAAAGATGAAATTGCATACATGATGTACAAGATGTTAAACACAGAAGAACGTATTTTTTTGATTACTTAATAAAAAAAAAAACACTGCACTTATTTAATAAAATATATCCAAATGATTAAGAAATATAAATGAAAATGGTGCAAGTAACCCTGCTATCATTTTAAATCATGAAAGTATTACTGGGTTGATTCACACTGGTAAGATACGCTGCCTTCTATATTAACTTTCCAAAATTGATTTTATCAATCATTGCTTTGGTTATATGAAAAAATGTCAATCTGTTTATGTAAGGAACTCATATATAAGTACAACTTGGTTGAAAATGATAATATTACATATACATAACCTAAAATATCGATCCTGATTGAATGATAAGCCGGCCTTAACAAGTCCTTGATTCCTTACAGTCAAATTCATCTCAAACTTGTAAAATAGTAGGCCAGCCTTTGATTTCATGTTTGAACCTGCTAAGAGGCTTTGAATTTTAAAAATAAGACGCGCCTTATCGATAATTTAGGATATATAAACAAAAACATGATATCGAATAAATATTGATTATTTAGGTTAGCGTATATCAAAAACATATTTATGTTAATAATTTATAACAATATATCGCTGAATCACCTTATTGCTGAATTGAAAATGTTGGTTTTTGATACTTTTAACATCTGTCCAATAACACCGAATAATACAGTTCCATCAAGTCAGCTTCTCTATCTCTAGTTCCTGTTCTCCTGTCCAGCAGGCGAGATATATCCGAATTTACCATTTAAATGATAGCCGATAAGCCAGCCGTTCACATACATTCCATATATTGCACTGCTTCAGTGCCGTTCACATATATTCCATACATTGCAGTGCTGCAGTGCCGTTCACATATATTCCATATATTGCAGTGCTACAGTGCCTTTCACATATATTCCATATTTTGCAGTGCTGCAGTGCCGTTCACATATATTCCATACATTGCAGTGCTTCAGTGCCGTTCACATTTATTCCATACATTGCAGTGCTTCAGTGCCTTTCACATATATTCCATATTTTGCAGTGCTGCAGTGCCGTTCACATATATTCCATACATTGCAGTGCTTCAGTGCCGTTCACATTTATTCCATACATTGCAGTGCTTCAGTGCCTTTCACATATATTCCATATTTTGCAGTGCTGCAGTGCCGTTCACATATATTCCATACATTGCAGTGCTTCAGTGCCGTTCACATTTATTCCATACATTGCAGTGCTTCAATGCCGTTCACATATATTCTATACATTGTAGTGCTGCAGTGCTTTTCACATATATTCCATACAACGAGTGCTGCAGTGGAACTTCAATTAGTAAGCTGACCGAAGTCACACAAGTGTTGTCCTCGTCTTTAGTCCATCGTTTTTATATCACAGACAAAATTAATGAGCTTTATTGACAACTAATTAGCTAAATAGCTAACCGGTTAATGATAGTGTTTCTAAAATGTTTCTACGCCTGACCACAGAAAATCATGAACAAACTTTTCTATGAGAATCCATCAATAATGTTGCAGGTTAATAAATATGCGTATAAATGTCACCCAAACATAACAAATCTTAAACGAAGCGTTCCCGGTACCTGTAATATAGAAAACAGCATAATTATTTTTTATCAAATTTTTAACGAATGAATCTATGCAGGATGACAAAAACAATTCATTCGGGTTGAATTTTACTTGTTAAGCTAAATCAACATAAATGTTCATTGAACACTCGATCAATTCTATTGCTTTTACTGTTTAACGCTAATAAGCTACAACATGATATGCTAAATCTAACGATCGATATATTTAAAGAAGCATCCATGAGTCGAAATTTTCTTATCATTTAATCAAGATTGCCACAAGACATTGTACTGCATGGTCGTTTTTACTACAATAAACAACATTGGACTATGATATTGTTACGACTGATGAATGTGCAGTAATTTTGACGCGAGATAAAAATTCAAACGTTTTTCTTGCACATTTTTGAGCCATACTTTCATTTTAAAATCATTTTGTCACCATTGATAGTAACTTTTCAGAAATTCATTGGGGCATTGACAAACGTTGAAATGAAAGTTATTGGAAATTGTTTACATAACGGATTGCACATTTCATTTTACAGGTAAGATATATCAATCTTAACCAGTATACAGTATATTTACTAAAAATAACAACACACATACCCAAACATGTCGCTGTGTCGTGTTGACAATCTTGGGCGTCGGATATAAAGCTAAGGATGTAAACAAAATCATGATTAAATGCATTATTCACATTATTAAACAGTTTAAGATACTCATGAAATATTTGAGACTCAAATTCAATATACACGAATGTCAGAAATGACATTATTCAAGGTTGAATAAAGTCACTCATTTGTTACAATTTGCCCAATTTATGTTGGTTGAATTATGATATGTCCATATATATATATATATGTTTATACAGCAAAACTTAATACGTGCACTTTTCCATAATTTTCAAAGAGGGAATTACTTCAATGTTTTAGAATTAAATTTTGTTATGCATATGAAATCATCCTTTAATTAAAAGCAGTAAATATCTTAAAATATTTATCCATAATATATTCCAACACTGTTAAGGTATAATAACACCACTGCATCAGTTATAATCGCGAGGAAAGGTTCCACCCAAAAGTGTGTTTTGTTTTGTTTTGTGTTTGTTTTTGTTTTATTACTAGGGGTATCTTCCCTTCTATATAAAAGATGAAGCAGCCAATGGAGGGTTTTTTCTGGCTAAGAACTACGCTCCACATCAAGCTTTTTGATGATTTGTTGCCCATTAGCTTGACACTCGGCTTGTCGCGGTTTTTGCTTCATTCCTTTTAGGCTTTGTAACTTAAAGATTACAAACACATGCAATTCTGTCAAAGGTATTGAAAATTAGATTGTTATGGAGAATTCTTTAGAAAGGTTTTTAACGATTTTTTCCCACAGTATTGAGAGAAGGATATATCTGTTAGCCTTTATATTAAAAGTCAAAGTTCGAAAACATAAGATCTGATAGTTTTCTTTGATCGTCTAAGCAAAGCGTTTGTTTCATATACACGTATCTGTCAATCATATGAAACTAATTATTTTTGAAATGAATGAAATGTTTCATCAAATGACAATGATACCTGTTGGTCAACGTGTAAGTATGTATTTTTTGTTGGACTGACCTGATTTTCTGTGTCTAATAACCTGTATGCATCACCGGGCTCAACGTACTGGGGTCTTCTTTGCTCATGCACCGCTGAGGTGTGGTAGTCACGTGGCGAGTCCCATATTTCCATAGGCAAATACATCCGAGGCTTTTAGAAAAACAGTAAGAGACCGTTCTTAATTCATTTTTACCCTAGTAGATGATGTTTTCTGTCAATGTTAGGTACGTATGGTTATAAATATTCAAAACAATGTCGTATAATATGATAATTACCTTATAGTCGTAAGATTAAGTATGATTTTGAATTGGCATTTATCAACTGTCTATCGTTTTTATTTTATATATTTTTATTTATAACTTGAGAAAACATTATTATGACAACGAACTCAAATTTTTGTTAAAAAAAATGTGCAAAACTTTTCAAAATTATCATTTGAAACACAAATACAAATAATGTTAAACATTTTTTGTATTTGTATTTTAATAAACTATTATGAAAATCCGTCTGCACAAAAAGAGTACTGTGTCCTCTCAATCGGACGAAATCGACAGATGACGACAATATCAGGAGCTGGGGACACTATAGGGAAAATGAGAACACAATTATAACTTACAACAGCGAACTAAAAATAATTCAATCTTTTTTAAAATAGGTTCTTAAAATACTATGATAAAAAGTGTAAAAATACGCTTTTTGTATTTATATTTTGAAAACATATTGTAAAAATTTCCAAAGTTAGTTCAATGACGTCTTTGAGTTTACCGGTGCAGCTGGTTGGTCGCTGATACTTTCCCAGCCGTTATAATAGGCTGCCGGGCGTTCATTTTCGGAACTCCCCATCATGTGTTCATGTCTTGTTGGTCCCCGGTCAGCTCTCTCTCCAATATTGTACGCCCTATTGGCCCTCAAGTTCTCCATTCTTGTTGGCATACTGATTTCACTGCCATAAACTCGATTATGTCTGCAAAAAAACTCATCACGATCAAATATAGTCAAGCTTTATCGGGTTATCTCCCGTTTGAATATCATCATCATGTTTGATAGCAAAACAGTCTTAAAAAATAGCGTTTGAGTAATGAAATAAATTTTAATGATTTATTTTGTGAAATCATTTCAACAACAAATTGTACGGCTACCTTTAAAGAAAAGCTAATAGAAACGGATTTAATACAAACGATAATTTACATTAAATTATAGATATATTACACGAATACTTAATTTAATTTATAACTACACTCGATAATTTATGATATACACTATCAACAAAAAAATCAAGGGGTCGGGGTCAGGACATACTATCAATATATTACAATCAGACGGTGAAAGTTTTCACTGACGATTCATCTCCATGTTAAGATTTTTTGATAGTGCGTAACTTACACGTTAACATCATGAATATAGATGCGTACGGATTAAAATATTTTAATTGCATTGATAAGCGTAAAGTTTACTTTCAATTCAAAACCCCACATTTTAAATACAAACGACCACTTTTTACAATCCTGGAGTTAACAATGTTAAGTTACGGGTCAATTTCCTTGACGTCTGTCCGATGGCATACTACTTGCCTTGTATTACTATGGGTTTTCTTTGTTGTCCTTCTTTTCTTGCATACATATACGATGACGACTACGATGACGATGATAACTGCTCCTCCTAACCCTGCGGTAACTGCCAGAATGTTTGTGAGGTCACTTGACTTTAAGCAGCTATCACTGTAATGCTCGAATACGGTGTCTGGGAGGCATCTGTAAATACAAAGTTGTACTATGAAGCAGTACACTATACGCTCGTCACAGATTAGTTTCCTTTCAACAACTAGGGTCATTTAAGGACGTGCCTGGATGTGTGTAATGTATGCGCGTGTATGTGCTGGAGACGGGGTACATTGGTATATTTGCCTCTGAGTGATAACGTGGATCCGATGCAGACTTTTAAGTGCTATATCACTGAAATACCATGCCGAAGGCACCTAGCACTGAATTCCGTCCGGTCTCACTATACTGACAATGGGTGAATCAGTTGTTGCAATAACCCTTAACGCTGAACGTTAAGCAGGGAATAACAACTACCAATTTTAAGGAACTTGGTATGTCCCGGCATGATGACATAACCCCTTGCCTTCCTCGCCTAGAAGAACGCTTAGCGTTAAAGCTAAAAGTGAGGTATTGCTAAGTGAGGCGCTAAGAAAAAAAATGGAGGTGATTAGTTTTAAGGAGAAAGATATCAACTATTGGTATTGAAAGAGTGAAATACAATATAGTTCAATGTATATACCCTTGATTTAATAAAATCACAAGGATTAACACCACACATTACGGCCGGCTTTAACGAAAGTTTTTATCAAAGTTATGTGTTTATGGTAATTATTCTTGTGTTTAAGTTTGAAGTTTATCGGTTAATAAACACCCCAGATATAAAGCGGATATCGTGATTCAGGGGACATAACTCGAAAGTCATAACGGTCAAATAACAATGAAAATTAAAAAAAAATAAAAATTATAGGACTCGTAGTGTAAGATTCCTTACTTCGTTTTTTAGCGATAATTCTTAATGATATTAGCCATTTCTGCTACTTTATCCACATCGCTTGAATGTAAAATACATGGTGATAAAATATTTTATTTAGTATATAAAATTTGTATATCTATATACATAAAAATTGACACAAAATTAAAAACGCTTTTTACCGTCAAAATTTGTGGAACAACAAGGATGGAAAAAGAAACAAAATCATGTAGTTTCAAATAAAACTGATATCAGACTACACAATCTAATTTTTTTTTTTATAAATAAATGAATTAAATGAAATTAACTTTTATTTATATCAATTTGTTTTTGTCGATATGTTGAAAATTAAAAGAAATGTGCAATTTAGAAAAAAGTTGTATTGCTAATTGTTTTGAGGAAGAAGCTTCTAAAATATTCAGCGAAGCCACTGTCTGTGCTGGTAACTGTGGATAAATTCTTGTTAGTGCATTTGAGTTGTCTTTCCTTGAAGACTAGATAAAATTCAAACGACAGTTTTCAGTTGCTCATATTTTGTTTTCATTAGTAGATTGCATACATGTCTGTGGCAGCCATAGACATTTTCAACAGTTTTCTGTTGATATGAATACAAAATTGAGGCTACTTTATAAGGGCGCGGAAACCGATGACGCAAAGATACAGATGATTTAAGAAAGGACAATATTTTGTGCGATATTGATAAAGGTTATTGTATTCTTTTCAAATGGGAGTAAATGATCTATATCATTTTATCGCAGTGACATCGTATAATAAGGTCTTTATGTGTTACTGTTTTGAATTTGTGAGCTTGTGAACTTATTCAACCGACTGTAACAGTCATTAATTCAGTCGATTCGCTACTTTTTCAGACGTGACAGGAAACCATAATCAAATTCAATAAAATTACTTTCTGAAACTACCATCTACCTGTGACTAGAACAGTTTCCGACGACGTAACGTGACGTCTGCAATTTATACCGTTTTTACTAGTTATAAATAGAAGTAAACGTTTAATTTCTACATCAATTATTTGTTTGGTTTCTTCTTTAATTCGACGATTTTGATTAAAAAAACACACCAGACGTACGAAGAAATGAACCATCTTTTTGAAAATTTAGTTTGTATATGTAGATACAGAAGCTTAACAGGGTTACATCTCACAGCACAACATGGCCGTGTCGTTCGTTCAGCACTCAACACTTCATATTTGAACAGAATGAAAAATCCGTGTCTAGTGTGTTCCGAAATATATATAATATGTAAAATACAGCTAAAAGGGAAAGGTGCCTCGAAAACCCTTTATAACAGTCATGCATGAAGTTCGGCGAGATATACAGTAGCTTTGTCATTGAAATCAACAAGCAGACCGACGTTACTTACATGCACCTTGTGTTCCCTGACGGATGAAGTAAGCAATATCCGTAGTCACCACAAACATCGTACGTGCATTTCGAATTACAGATGAAAGGGCCACTTAATTTATCACCATCTTCGCAACTTTGGTATTCATTGCAGTTATCTTGTAAATCACACATACTTGCGTTTTCCGCTGAAAACAACGAATCAAAGGAATTATAGTGGTGTTTTTTCAATTAATAAATGAATTATATATATATAAACTGTGAACATGAAATATGAACTGATGTGTTTCCTAAATTATTGAAATTTACTATTAATGTGTCAGATAGAATAGATAAAATAAATGCATACATATGTGTTCTATCGCCAACGTTTTCCAAGTAATGCTGTTGTTAGTAGTCAGTGTTAGTCAATGCAATGTTTTCTTTTGTGAAATCAGATATCCTATGCTTCAAAGAGAGAAAACAATAAACTACACTACCATCAAAAATTCTTCAAAAATTCAACTCAGATCATCACCGAACAACGCTATATCTATAGGTGCATACAATGTATGTGGAAATGTATACTCAGATATATTTCACTAATGTTATGAAAGATAATACATTATTCAATATTGTTACTTCTTACCTCTATCTAAATCGAACTCCCGTTTTTCCTTTGTCTTGTTCAAATTTACACTGACTGGTTGACCATGCAGTTTTAATGTCTCGTTGTCCCATGTATTATGTTTGACGGCCTGCAGGATTGAGTCTTTCGACCTACCGGCAGCAAATCTTAGTCTATAGTTACATTCAACGCTACCGTTCCTACAACGTGGAATAATACAGGATGTTGTCGCTTTATTGACATAACTTCATAATAATACAATATATAAATAGCATGTCTGGTACTTTTACGGCAGGTACATGAACTCTATTCGCAATTTAATACAAACATTAACTCAGCATTTGATATAGTGTCATGTTATAGGTCACTAAACTGAACCACAAACAAAACCGTCAGAACATTGTGGGATCTTACAAATTACAACAATGTGAAAACCGTGTTTAATTTATACAAAACATAGTTGTGTTCAATAATCAGAATAAAGAAAATAAAGTTGTTGAACAACATTTCAATTAAAATTGCATTTACCGTCCAAAACTATATACATTAAAACCTCGTTATACTGCCACCGGTTGTGCAGATACATAGTGTCGATTTAAAGGGGCTTTGGGTTGAACTGAGGGAAATGTATACATATTTTTTAAGAAAATGGAGCATAGCAAGGGGACCTTTAAATATGTTTGAAAAAAAGGTGGAACGAGGGACATTAGATCAGGGTTTTTCCTGGTAACATCATCTCGCAATCAGATTAAAATTATGACGCTGACGAAAAGTGTAGGAAGCGATAGGAAGTAGAAATCTTATTTAAAATGCAGTAGCTGATCGTAGAGATAATTACTTACGTAAATCCGATGATAGTCACACTCTCAAACCCATCTGTGTCATTGTACTTGGTATAAATCTGAAGATACGGATCATATAGAACAAGTGTTAACACTCAGCACAATCCGAAGGCTAAATTACGGTTACAACAATCATCTAGAAGACGGAACTTAAATGAAATAATGGGGGGGGGGGATGTAAGTAATGTAAGGAAAACAATCTGTAACCAACGTTGTTCGTTTTTAGCCGCGGTCACATATCTTACGGTCACACGTAGTTGACCGTAGTGGGGGATGACCGTAGGTGAAATTTGTTAAACGTATTAAACCTAATTAGATGTAGTTCAACGTAGTTATAAACGTACTTTGAACTTCAAGAAACCCATGATTTAGCCGTGGTTAGGCCAAAATTATTAAACATGTTCAAAATACTATTTCTACGGTGAGTTTAGATGCCAGGACCCTACTGTCACCGTAGTTTGAACGTAGTTGACCCTATTTGGCCGTAATTGACCCTACCTGACCATAGTGTTTATCGTAGTTGACCGTAGTATCATGGCACTATGGTTAACACTACGGTTAAGAATAGGGTCAAATAGGGACAACTACTAGGGTTGGACTACTTTTGAAGTATGATCACAGTACTGTTATACGGTTAACACAGGTCAAGTAGGGTTAAGGGTTGAACTACGTCTAACTACGTTTAATACGTTTAACTAAGGTCGCCTACGGACTACCACAGTCAACTTCGGTCATCCCCCACTACAGTCAACTTCGGTCATCCCCCACTCCAGTCAACTACGTGCGTGACCGTAAGATGTGACCGCGGCATTAGCACACGGCGTTAAGAAAACTGCGACATAACGGACAGGGTCACTCCCATTCAACCAGGTAGTAAACATAAGTCAAAGATGGAATTTGTGGGATAATGAGACAGTTACTGGATAAGAAATGCTAGTTAAAAGTCCTTTGATACGAACTATTATCAGGGATAGAGTTAACAAATTAAAAAACAACTTCGCGCGAGAACTCCTCTAGAAATTGTACCGACAATGTCGTCTACCAAAATAACTCGTCGCAGACAATTTCGTCCCAAAAATAGTATAAGAAAAACATATAAAAAATAGACACATACAAAATAAAATGAAAGGATAAACAATTTCATATTAGGTAACTATTATTTGCAGAGCGATAGATTAAAACGGTTTAATAGGAAATTAGTTTCTCCTTTCTCTTCATGCTTTTTCCCTTCTATTTTCCATTTTAAATCTTTTCTCGTCTGGTGAAAGGCCGCAAGGCCGCTATAGCGGACGTAAGACCATTAAGTAATAATAATAGTCTTGAAGGTGGTGTAGGTTATCGACTAATGTTGGCCGCATTCGTTTATTGCCGTCCAAACGGTTGAACCGGTTGGGCCAGAGTCGTTCGTTGTTTAATAAGGTCAGACCTAGTAATCTGATGCTGCTTTCAGGCGAGCTCTGACAAACCCTTGCAAGGGCTACATACACATGTGCAGGTCCGCCAGGGTTTATACCCGAACATGTTACATTTAAAAACAGACAAACTGGTTGAACCGGTCACGCGAAAAGGGCTTTGTCACAGACAGTGAGCCAGCGATCCCTCCAATAAGTGGAAGCGTAAACGTATTTGTCAATTTCTACTTTTATATATATATATGTAAGTAGTATATTATAATGTATCTAATATACTTCTTCACCCACCATGTGACGAAATGACTCGCTATACGTTTGATAAAGAGCAGATGATTTGTCCTTCAGGTCTTCTTTAAACCCAATCTCCACAACGACCGTCAACTTGATTGCAATGACTATTTGTTCTGAAATTTAAAGTAATCCAGAAATAATCAGTTCCTATTATATCACAAATAATCCAATTATACTCAGTCCATGTCATCAGTTTCATTTTTTTAAATGAAATCATTCAACAATTTTCCCTGTTTCGTAACCTATCTTTTCGCACTTAACGTTAACTTTTCCAGTTGGTTTAAACATTATTTTATTTACAAATATGCTGTACATAATATGTCATTTTACATAAAGTAACATTAGGGATCTGGCAACAAGAGTAGGCTCTTATATTAAGCCATCTCCCTAGCTTTTCCGGTTAACCCGGCATATCACATATGTGACGTCACGGTGTCATAGATCTGTTAATTGAGGGCAGTTGAGTTATAAACGTTAACATTTTTAACTCTTACCTGCTGAAATAACAGAGCTACCGGGAGCAAGTGTAGTTGGTTTGATAGCAAAAGGCGTAGTTGTACTAAATATGGTTGTTGTAGGTATGGTTGTAGTAGATGTGGTTGTAGTATTTGTTGTAGGTGTGGTTATAGTAGGTGTTGTTGTAGGTATAGTTATAGACGGTGAGGTTGTAGTTGTTGTCGATGTGGTTGTAGTAGGTGTGGTTGTAGTAGGTGTGGTTGTAGAAGGTGTGGTTGTAGTAGGTGTGGTTGTAGTAGATGTGGCTGTAGGAGGTGTGGTTATAGTAGGTGTGGTTGTAGTCGGTGTAGTTGTAGTCGGTGTGGTTGTAGTAGGTGTGGATGTAGTAGGTGTGGTTGTAGTCGGTGTGGTTGTAGTCGGTATGGTTGTAGTAGGTGTGGTTGTAGTAGGTGTTGTTGTAGTAGGTGTGGTTGTAGTAGGTGTGGTTGTAGTAGGTGTAGTTGTAGTAGGTGTGGTTGTAGTAGGTGTGGTTGTAGTATGTGTTGTTGTAGTCAGTGTGGTTGTAGTAGGTGTGGTTGTAGTAGATGTGGCTGTAGTAGGTGTGGTTATAGTAGGTGTGGTTGTAGTCGGTATAGTTGTAGTCGGTGTGGTTGTAGTAGGTGTGGATGTAGTAGGTGTGGTTGTAGTCGGTGTGGTTGTAGTAGGTGTGGTTGTAGTCGGTGTGGTTGTAGTAGATGTGGTTGTAGTCGGCGTGGTTGTAGTAGGTGTGGTTGTAGTCGGAGTTGTTGTAGTAGGAACGGTTGTAGTAGGTGTGATTGTAGTAGGTGTTGTTGTAGTAGGTGTAGTTGTAGTAGGTGTGGTTGAAGTCGGTGTGGTTATAGCAGGTGTGGTTGTAGTTGGTGTGGTTGTAGTCGGTGAAGTTGTAGTTGGTGTGGTTATAGTAGGTGTGGTTGTAGTCGGTGTTGTTGTAGTTGGTGTGGTTGTAGTAGGTGTGGTTGTAGTAAGTGTGGTGGGAGTTGGTGTGGTTGAAGTCGGTGTGGTTGTAGTCGGTGTGGTTGTAGTAGGAGTGGTTGTAGTAGTTGTTGTTGTAGTTACTGTGGTTGTAGTAGGTGTGGTTGTAGTAGATGTGGTTGTAGTAGGTTTGGTTGTAGTAGGTGTGGTTGGAGTTGATGTGGTTGTAGTCGGTGTGGTTGTAGTAGGTGTGGTTGTAGTAAGAATCATTGTAGTAGGTGTGATTGTAGTAGGTGTTGTTGTAGTAGGTGTGGTTGTAGTAGGTGTGATTGCAGTAGGTTTGGTTGTAGTCGGTGTGGTTGTAGTAGATGTGGTTGTAGTCGGCGTGGTTGTAGTCGGTGTGGTTGTAGTCGGTGTTGTTGTAGTAGGTGTGGTTGTAGTCGGTGTTGTTGTAGTTGGTGTGGTTGTAGTAGGTGTGGTTGTAGTCGGTGTGGTTGTAGTAGATGTGGTTGTAGTCGGCGTGGTTGTAGTAGGAATGGTTGTAGTAGGTGTTATTGTAGTCGGTGTTGTTGTAGTAGGTGTAGTTGTAGTAGGTGTGGTTGTAGTCGGTGTGGGTGTAGTCGGTGTTGTTGTGGTTGGTGTGGTTGTAGTAGGTGGGGTTGTAGTCGGTGTGGGTGTAGTCGGGGTAGTTGTGGTTGGTGTGGTTGTAGTAGGAGTGGTTGTAGTAGGTGTTGTGGTGTGGTTGTATTAGGTGTTGTTGAAGTTGGTGTGGGTGTAGTCGGTGTGGTTGTGGTTGGTGTGGTTGTAGTAGGGGTGGTTGTAGTAGGTGTGGTTGTAGTCGGTGTGGTTGTAGTAGGTGTGGTTGTAGTTGGTGTAGTTGTAGTAGGTGTGGTTGTATTAGGTGTTGTTGCAGTTGGTGTGGGTGTAGTCGGTGTAGTTGTGGTTGGTGTGGTTGTAGTAGGTGTGGTTGTAGTCGGTGTGGTGGAAGTCGGTGTTGTTGTAGTTGATGTGGTTGTAGTAGGTGTGGTTGAAGTAGGTGTGGTGGTAGTCGGTGTGGTTTTAGTGGGTGTTGTTGTAGGAGGTGTGGTTGTAGTAGGTGTTGTTGTAGAAGGTGTGGTTGTAGTAGATGTGGTTGGAGTCGATGTGGTTGTAGTCGGTGTGGTTGTAGTCGGTGTGGTTGTAGTAGGTGTGGTTGTAGTCGGTGTGGTTGTAGTAAGAATCGTTGTAGTAGGTGTGATTGTAGTAGGTGTTGTAGTACGTGTGGTTGTAGTAGGTGTAATTGTAGTCGGCGTGGTTGTAGTCGGTGTGGTTGTAGTCGGTGTGGTTGTAGTAGGTGTGGTTGTAGTCGGTGTGGTTGTAGTAGATGTGGTTGTGGTCGGTGTGGTTGTAGTAGGAATGGATGAAGTAGGTGTGGTTGTAGTAGGTGTGGTTGTAGAGGATGTGGTTGTAGTCGGTGTGGTTGTAGTCGCTGTGGTTGTAGAAGGTGTGGTTGTAGTCGGTGGGGTTGTAGTAGGTATGGTTGTAGTCGGCGTGGTTGTAGTCGGTGTGGTTGTAGTTGGTGTGGTTGTAGAGGATGTGGTTGTAGTCGGTGTGGTTGTAGTAGGTGTGGTTGTAGTCGGTGTGGTTGTAGTAAGAATAGTTGTAGTAGGTGTGGTTATAGTAGGTGTTGTCGTAGTAGGTTTGGTTGTAGTTACTGTGGTTGTAGTAGGTGTGGTTGAAGTCGGTGTGGTTGTAGTAGGAATGGTTGAAGTAAGTGTGGTTGTAGTAGGTGTGGTTGTAGAGGATGTGGTTGTAGTCGGTGTGGTTGTAGTTGGTGTGGTTGTAGAAGATGTGGTTGGAGTCGGTGCGGTTGTAGTAGGAATGGGTGAAGTAAGTGTGGTTGTAGTAGGTGTGGTTGTAGTAGGTGTGGTTGTAGTAGGTGTGGTTGCAGAAGGTGTGGTTGTAGTCGGCGTGATTGTAGTCGGTGTGGTTGTAGTAGGTGTTGTTGTAGGTGTGGTTATAGGTGTGGTTGTAGTAGGTGTGGTTGTAGTCGGTGTGGTTGTAGTAAGAATCGTTGTAGTAGGTGTGGTTATATTAGGTGTGGTTGTAGTAGGTGTGGTTGTAGTTACTGTGGTTGCAGTAGGTGTGGTTTTCGTAGGTGTGGTTGTAGTAGGTGTGGTTGTAGTCGGTGTAGTTGTGGTAGGTGTGGTTGTAGTACGTGTGGTTGTAGTAGGTGTGGTGGAAGTCGGTGTGGTTGTAGTCGGTGTAGTTGTAGTAGGTGAAGTTGTAGTAGGTGTGGCTGTAGTAGATGTGGTTGTAGTAGGGGTTGTTGTAGTAGGTGTGGTTGTTGTCGGTGTGGTTGTAGTCGGTGTGGTTGTAGTCGGTATGGTTATAGTCAGTGTGGTTGTAGTCGATGTGGTTGTAGAAGGTGTGATTGTAGTAGGTGTGGTTGTAGTAGGTGTGGTTGTAGTCGGTGTGGTTGTAGTCGGTGTGGTTGTAGTCGGTGTGGTTGTAGTCGATGTGGTTGTAGTAGGTGTGGTTGTAGTTACTGTGGTTGTAGTAGGTGTGGCTGTAGTAGGCGTGGTTGTAGTCGGTGTGGTTGAAGTAGGTGTGTTTGTTGTCGGTGTGGTTGTAGTGGGTATGGTTTTAGTCGGTATGGTTGTAGTCAGTATGGTTGTAATCGCTTTGGTTGTAGTAGGTGTGGTTGTAATAGGTGTTGTTGTAGTCGGTGTGGTTGTAGTCGGTGTGGTTGTAGAAGGGGTGGTTGTAGTAGGTGTGGTTGTTGTTGGGGGGGTTGTAGTCGCTGTAATTGTAGTCGCTGTGGTTGTAAAAGGTGTGGTTGTAGTAGATGTGGTTGTAGTAGGTGAGGTTGTTGTTGGTGTGGTTGTAGTCGGTGTGGTTGTAGTCGCTGTGGTGGTAGTCGCTGTGGTTGTAGTAGGAGTGGTTGTAGCAGGTGTTGTTGTAGTAGGAGTAGGTGTGGTTGTAGTCGGGGTGGGTGTAGTCGGGGTGGGTGTGGTCGGTGTGGTTGTAGTAGGAATGGTTGTAGTAGGTGTCGTTGTAGTAGGTGTGGTTGTAATAGGTGTGGTTGTAGTAGGTGTGGGTGTAGTAGGTGTGGTTGTAGTTACAGTGGTTGTAGTAGGTGTGGCTGTAGTAGGTGTGGTTGTAGTAGATGTGGTTGGGGTCGATGTGGTTGTAGTCGGGGTGGTTGTAGTCGGTGTGGTGGTTCTCGCTGTGGTTGTAGTTGGTGTGGTGGTACTCGCTGTGGCTGTAGTTGGTGGGGTTGTAGTCGGGGTGGTTGTAGTAAGAATCGTTGTAGTAGGTGTGGTTATATTAGGTGTGGTTGTAGTAGGTGTGGGTGTAGGCGGTGTGGTTGTAGTCGGTGTTGTTGTAGTAGGTGTGTGGTTGTAGTAGGTGTGGTAATAGTCGGTGTGGTTGTAGTAGGATGGTTGCAGTAGGTGTGGTTTTCGTAGGTGTGGTTGTAGTAGGTATGGTTGTAGTAGGTGTTGTTGTAGTATGTAGTCGCTGTGGTGGTAGTCGCTGTGAGGTGTGGTTGTAGAGGATGTGGTTGTAGTCGGTGTGGTTGTAAAAGGTGTGGTTGTAGAAGGTGTGGTTGTAGTCGGCGTGGTTGTAGTCGCTGTGGTGGTAATCGCTGTGATTGTAAAAGGTGTGGTTGTAGAAGGTGTGGTTGTAGTAGGTGTGGTTGTAGTAGGTGTGGTTGGTGGTGGTGTGGTTGTAGTCGGTGTGGTGGTACTCGCTGTGGCTGTAGTTGGTGTGGTTGTAGTCGGTGTGGTTGTAGTAGGAGTGGTTGTAGCAGGTGTTGTTGTAGTAGGTGTGGTTGTAGTCGGTGTGGTTGTAGTCGGTGTGGTTGTAGTCGGTATGGTTGTAGTCAGTGTTGTTGTAGTCGCTGTGGTAATTGTAGGTGTGGTTGTAGTAGGTGTGGTTGTAGTAGGTGTGGTTGTAGTAGGTGTTGTTGTAGTAGGTGTGGTTGTAGTAGGTGTGGTTGTAGTTGGTGTGGTTGTAAAATGTGTGGTTGTTGTCGGTGTGGCTGTAGTCGGTATGGTTTTAGTCAGTGTGGTTGTAGTCGATGTGGTTGTAGAAGGTGTGATTGGAGTCAGTGTGGTTGTAGTAGGTGTGGTTGTAGTCGGTGTGGTTGTAGTAGGTGTTGTTGTAGTAGGTGTAATTGTAGTAAGTGTTGTTGTAGTAGGTGTGGTTGTAGTAGGGGTGGTTGTAGTAGGTGTGGTTGTAGTTGGTGTGGTTGTAAAATGTGTGGTTGTTGTCGGGGTGGCTGTAGTCGGTATGGGTTTAGTCAGTGTGGTTGTAGTCG